GGAAATAAGAGACTCTTACTATGTTGAAATGTGTCTACTTTCTCGATAGATTTTGTGCGTAGCTAATCCGGAAGGAAGAGACTCTTACTACAACCTGTTGTTTCTTAAATTTTTTACTGGCTAGATGGGATGTTTTGGTATACTTAAATTTAAGATAAGTTCCATCCAGGGTTCTTGGAGTCTGCCAGTAATTGCTAGGTCCCTCAATGATATCAGCTTCAAGTGTGCTCCGCTTTTGTCATTTGCAGGTATGGATGTTGTTTACTTGAGTTTCTGCATCATCTCGAAGTCCAAGTTTATGCAAGTAGTTGTCAGTTATCACTTCCTTTAGTTTCTGTATCATCTTGAGTTTCTTCCCTACTGTTCTTTGAAACCGAAAGTCATCCCTCTACTTTCAGAAAGTGGTGATACAGAAACTATTAGGATGTTCCAGGCTTTTCTACACTGATTGGTTATCTTCCTCCAGTTGATGGACAAGATCAATTAGTCCAACAATGTTCTATTCTAAGAAAATACCTAGCTTCTACCCCTGCTGCCATCTCTAGCACTGAGTAGAAGGCTTTCTGTTGTCGAAGTTTGCTTCGCTACTTCGTCTCTTCTGAATTGGTTGAAAGGGTCAGGTTGGGAGTTGGGGTTTCAGTTGGAATTTTGGTTGACTTTAGATGTAATATCAGAACCTTGGATTGGTGTCATGAAAATTTTGAGGGTCAGCGCTAAAGGTTTGTAATTTAATGGTGATGATGCTATAGAGGTCTGAATTCATTTAAGTTTGTAGTTTAGCAGTATCAGTCTGTTGTTTGATTTTGGGGTTCCTTAATCTCAGGTTTTCTTGGATGTTTGGTACCATGTTTTACTCTTTTACATCTCTTTGTTTCCAACTTTGAATTGGAAGGGGTTAAAGAACAAATAATAAATTGAGTTCCTTGCCTATATGTTCTTTCCTCAAGTTATTTCTGCATTATTTGGTCTTTTTGAACCATGAGGAACGTGTTTGATTGGTAGTCAAACTTGGTTGTGATGAGAAAAACCAGTAGGCAAAAGCAACTACTTCAGACTGTCTCGCTTCTCATATCCATCTTACTTTCCCAGTTCCCAGAGGAAGATGGATTTTTATTATTGAGTTGGGATTGTTGCATGGTATGGATCCAGGTAAAGGAGATATTCTCATGGGAGGTAAACTTCATTAGTTGTTGTGAAAGAGAAGTTTTAGCTCCAAGATTATAGTCTTGAAGAGTTGGATTCAGCAAACGATTGCAATTTAATGGAGGCAAGGAAATTTGTGCACTCTTAGTTTTCTCTGGTGTGAGGGTTTGGTTTTCGTGCTAAATTGTCATTTTTGGAAATAATGCACATCAAAGATTAGGATGGAAACAAGAACCACAAACAAACATGGTCCAGCAAGCTTATCGAATGATGGTACTGACCGAACATGTATTTACGTTATTCTTGAACACTTAAGTCACTTTAAACTGGCGAAAGAGCGACTATCGGTGGCGGAGACCTTGACCTCTATTTCTTAAGGTGATTCCCGTCTGCCTTTTTTATCCTCCCAAAATTGTTCCATTTCTCTTTGGTTGGTTGCTTTAATTTAAGATCTCATCAACAACATTTGGGTTGACGTTTGTTTAGTTTAGCTAATTGGTCTGTAGAATAGATTCTTCACCTATGAATCAAATCAATGTTTTGTGCTTAGGATTGGTGATGTTAAGTGTAGCCTTATCTAAATACTGTGTTGGGGGTGCAAACAGAAGCTATGCAGCAATAAATAATATTTCATATGTTGTTCTCATCTTTTAATCCAATCCGACTTACTTTTATGTTGTAATTACTGTGAAATTATCAGTTGTATGTGATATTTCGATACTCCCATCGTCTGGTGACTATGTTCATGGGGTGCAATTAGCGTGGGACACCCTCAAGTTAGGGATGACAACTTTGTCCATACCCATGGATTTCTTACTATCCAACCAATTGGGTTGGGTATGAAATCCAAATAGATGGATATGTGTAGAGTTTGATGGGTTTGTACCCATACCCATTTACTTTGGGTTCAGTTGGGTTTATATCAAATGGATTTGGGTTTGTACCAATGCCCAAATACAAATTACAGTTTGGTACCCAAACTTAATAGATATGCATATTTAGTACCTAAAATTAATTTTTTTTGCAAATAAGTCCTCAAAATATCGATGGAAAATTACGTTTTGGTACCTAAATTTTTTTGGTCTTACATTTTGGTACCTAAACTTTTCAAGTTTTACAAATAGGTCCAATTTTTGCATGTGTAGTTAAAACACCCTCAAGTAAATGGATATCCATATCCAACCCATACCCATTTAGATTATGGAAGCAATATTTATACCTTACCCAAACCCATCTATAAACCCCCAAATCCATATGCACTTCACCCATACCCAACCCATTATCAATGGGTCTACTTGGGTTTGGGTATAATTACCCATGGGTGGGTAATTTGCCATCCCTACCTCAAGTCAAACTACCTCAAGCTAACTGGAGAGTTCGTCATGATCTTACATAACCTGGTAGTACATCTCACGCCCTTGCTGGACTGCAAGTTAGGGAGCAATGGTGGGTTGCTCACTGTAGCTGTTACCTGGTCATTTTATAGACATGTAGTTTTTTTTTTTTCCTCCATGTCCAGTGAATTTGTTATATTATGTTTAGTGCTGAGGTAAGAAACCGGTTCTATGATGTAAGATAGCAGGATAAGCATTAGTTGAGCAGTATAATGTCCAGTTCTAATCCTCATTATCATATCTATCATGAAAATTGTTGGTGTTGTTCGAACTTAAGTCCTCTCCAGCTGGTCTTCCATTCTTAAACCACCATTCCGGTCTTCATTAAATCTGATCCTTCAGTTGTAAAAATTGCCTTGATTTTTCATGTTTTGTTTAATTCAGACGTTTCTTGGCTTCATAATTTGTCTATTGTTTCTCTCAGCTATACTGATTTCCATTTTGGTTTGTCTATTGTTTTTCTCAATTATACTTATTTCCATTTCCCCAAAGTGCATCAATTCATACGTTTGATATGGAAAGTTTATTGGAAATGGCAGCAAAACTCCGGACCCTGTCCAAGCTAAGGATATTACTGAGAATTCTTTGCAATTTATAGGTCTCACTCCTCTTTAAGCTTTTTTTTGCCAAAACGTTATTAGGTGTTCCTCTATTTTAGAAATTGTTGACCCAATAACCTGTCTGACTAAAAGCAGACTCTTTTTTCTATGTTAATCATGTGCAATCTGTTTTGTTGACTTTGTATAGTATATAACAAATGAGTTTACTTTTTTGGTTTGAGCTTATTTTCATTTTCTGGATAGTTAGCTATGTTGTATATTCACTGTTAGTGTTTTATTATATATTTTACTTCAAGTTTGTTGTTTGGTTAGAGCATAAACTTCATGTTTCAAATGTATCATGTACGAACTTGTGATTTAGCATGTGTTTACATTAAGAATTGTAAATCATATTAAAGATACCGAATAAGGCAATAATGGGATATTTTCCGCTTAAACAGTGTTTCCATCGTTTCAAATCAAGAAAAGGGACTATGAACTAATTACAACTAATGTCACACACAACAACCATAACAAAAATTACTTTCAAACCATACATGAACTACCTAAAAAATCCAAATAATTTAAAAATTCAAATAAATTGCTTATCATAAATAATAAGAATTATTAAAAAAATCAACCGACCAAAGGGTCGGGTAAAAGCTAGTTACTAAAGAAACAAATATTACTCGCTTCGCCATTTATATTCAAAAGTAAGAGATCCAAATAAAGCAAATATCTTATAAAAATCAAATCTCAATCAACTACGCATAACCTGACAAAGATGAGCCCTGACGGAAAATTTTGCCCTTCACAATGTATAGGGAATATGATTTACGATGGGTCTATTATTTGGGCCGGATTTCTCCAAACTCCAATTAAATTTAGCGAGTGCATTTATTAATAGCAGGTCCTATTACCCACGTTGACCGGGTTGGGTTCAGGTTTTGTTGTCATCCCTAGTAATAGCAGGTCCTATTAAATTTGGTTGCAACCTACAATCAAATTCGACGTCAACGGGGCTTCGCCCTTAGCTGTCTTGTACCTCCGGGAACACCAACGCGCCTCGTTTGGATTCGAATCTGGGATCTGCAAATCCCAAACCTTCACCGTCACGACAACTTTACTCTTAGGTTATCTTACACATGGTATAACCCTACGTAATTGATGTATGAGGGTTATATAAATAGTCACCTCTCTTGTTTTGTAAACGTAACAGTCGCACGAATAAAAGAATAGCTGATGAGAAGGGTTCTCCTTCTTTGTGGATTAATCTCGTTCACACTAAACGAGAATACCACATAAATGATTGTGTAATGTCTTCTTCTTCGCTTTATCGTTTTATTTCAATAAAAGATTTATTTGATTTTTAACATAATCAATTAATCTAGCATATACCTATGGGTGCATGTCAATAATTCGACGGAACATCCATGTCATCATATTAACAAAAAAAAAATTCTACAATTATAAAACTATAAGGACTATTAACATCAATAATTATACATGTTGTTAAAACTATTGTCATGAAGACCAATACATCATTAAATTATTCATATTATTATGGTAATATGCAAAATGATGTTGTTTTTCTTCTAAAGTCGAAATTTGGCGTAATTCCATTTAAATGATTAAGCAAATTCCAAAAGTAAAATTTACATGCACCAGACTAGTAATTGTCAACGTCGAATTTTATTCACTTTAACCGAATTGAACTCGATTGTGTACCTTAGAAAGCGAGTTCAATTGTCATCCCAAACTATCTCACAACATCATTACACGTTTCATTTCTCTTAACCCTGGTGGAAGCCTTTGCCCTTTCTCTTCTTTTCTCCTCCCTAAGTACACTATAAATACCCCGTAACACCACCACCAATTTCCATCAACAATCCCAAGCCATCATCGTTTAGCATCCCCATAACTAATGGCGACCATCGCAGAATCCCATTTCCCCTTTCTTCTCGCCACGTTCTTCCCCCACTCACTGCTTGTTCTACCCATACTCTTCTTCCTGCTTTCCCTCTTCCTAATCCGCAACCGCAGGCCGACTCTCCACCTTCCCCCAGGCCCAAAACCCTGGCCCATCCTCGGCAACATCCTCCACGTCGGATCCATGCCCCACGTAGCTTTCGCCCGACTCTCCCAAGCCCACGGCCCACTAATCTCCCTCCGCCTCGGCACCCAGACCGTCGTGGTTGGCTCATCACCGGAAGCAGCCAGCGAGATCCTCAAAACCCACGACCGCGACCTCTCCGGTCGAAGCGTCCCCCACGTGTCATTCGCTCGCGACCCCGAGCTGAACCACGACTCCATCGCATGGTCCACCCAATGCACGGACCACTGGCGGTCCCTCCGCTCGATGGTTCGAGCCGAACTGTTCTCTTCCAAGGCAATCGAACAGCAGTCGGACTTAAGGGAGAAACACGCTCGGGAGATGGCTCAGTTTCTGAACCGGAGGCGAGGGGAAGCGGTCCGGATCCGCGACGTGGCGTTCGCCTACGCTTTCAACTCCCTGGCCAGCACTTACGTGTCCAGGGATCTGATCCAGCTGGAAGGTGGGGACAGCGAGCGGACGAGCGGGATCATTAGGGACATGATGGAGCTTTACGCAGCTCCGAATATCTCGGACCTATATCCCTCATTGAGCCGGCTCGACCTCCTAGGTCTGAGGAAGCGTACGGAAGTGTGCGTGGTGAAGCTGAGGGAGCTGTGGGACCCACTCATCTCCCAGCGGAGGGAACTAAGGACAAGTGATCATCGTGACGATAACGGCGGCCGCCGCCGCCATGGCCGTGACTTTCTGGATGCGTTGCTCGACATAGGATTCTCCGACGAGGCGATCAGTTACACCTTTTTGGTAATTCCCTTACGTCACCATAAATTTTCTCAGTCTACCTGATGATGAAGACATTCTACCTACTACAAAAGGGAAAATAAAATAATAATAATAATAATAATAAAATAACATTTTCTTTTCCCTAGAAAAAAAAAACAGATAAAAATATTCAACGCGACATGCTAATAAATAATGATGAAGATTCGTTTTGATGAATGGTGGTCAGGAACTGTTAGCGGCGGTATCAGATTCAACGAGCGCGTCCATGGAATGGGCGATGGCGGAACTTCTCAAGAACCCTGATACAATGATGGAAGCTCGCCGGGAGTTCGACGGAAAGTTCCCCGAAGGCCACGTCATCAAAGAATCGGACCTCGCCGACCTGCCTTACCTCTGCGCATGCGTGAAGGAGACCCTACGACTCCACCCTCCGGCGCCGCTGCTGCTACCACGTCGGGCGGCCAAGGACTGCCACGTCATGGGCTACACCGTACCTCAGGGCGCCCACGTGTACGTCAACGTGTGGGCGATTGGGAGGGACCCTCGTTACTGGGAAGACGCATCGAGTTTCAAGCCGGAGAGGTTCATGGCTGGCGGGCGTGAGCGTGACGTGGATTTCAAGGGTAGCCACTTCGAGTTCCTGCCGTTTGGGAGCGGGAGGAGGATTTGTTCCGGGCTGCCCATGGCTGTAAGGGAAATCCAGCTGGCGGTGGCTACTTTGGTCTACGGGTTTGAGTGGTCGCTGCCGGAGGGAACGGCGGCGGGGGATTTGGAGATGGAAGAGAGGTATGGCGTCACGCTGAAGAAACTGAACCCACTAGTCGTCTTCCCAACTCCAAGGGTTTAAGCATGGGAGTAGTACTGTTTCCTCTTTAAATATGATATATATATAATATGTGTATGCAATTTGTACCTATGCTTCTCGTGTCTTATTGAGAAGCTTCTGGTTATGGTTTTGCAATTGTACTTATAAAATAAGGCTAAATTACACATTTGGTCACTCGAATTACATAAATCTTTCACGTTTGCTACCCAAATTACTTTTCTTTCATATTAGCCACTAACTTTACGATTCGTTTCACCGTTAGCCACCCTCCGTTAGACTCCGTTAACACCGTCAAATTTTTGATGACGTGGCAAACAGAAGTGTTGACTGAGCATTAACTTAATGACGTGTCAATTTTTTAAAATATAAAAAATAAAAAGAGATTCCACCTCACTCTCTCCTCACAACAACCTTTCTCTTCTCCTTCCTCTTCGCACGTGCAGCAGTCAAAACAGAGATTAGCGGAGCCATCTACTCTCGCAGCCGCTCGTTGCTTTTTCCTCATCCTGGTGCCACTCGTTGCTGTAAACTGCACCGCCTTCAGCAACCTAGTCCGACGCACCACCAAACTTTCTCGTCGCAGTCGAAGCCGCCACCATCTCGCCAAGACCAGTTGATACAACCTCCTCTCTAGAGCGTCGCTACAACCTCTGGCTGGAATCCACGTCATCGTTGTTGCACGTGTCAGCATCGATCCGCCGTTGTCATCATCCCCAGTTTCTTATTCCAGATCTAGGGAAATCTTCCAAAACAGGATTAATTCCCAAAATACAGTAATAATTAAAAAAAATTCCCAGAATACCAAACTTTTAAAAAAAATTCCCAAACTACCAAAGTTTGACATAGTTCGAGTTTACAAAACTCGAACCAGCAGTGGATCGATTGTCAAAAACTCGATCCAGGTGTATCGAGGACGGGACACTCGAACCACATGAAGTGGATCGATGAGCTGGGCAGCGCTCCACCATAGATCGATTTACTAGGAGGCGATCAGGGTCGTTCGATTGTTCAACCATCGAAGCAGTGGTGACGCGGATCGAGTGCGGTAAACTCGAGGTATGTGGATCGAGTCTTCTATAATCGATCCAGTTGACGCGGATCGATGACGTCAGGCGCGCCCAACCGTTGATCGAGTGGCCTATACTCGATCTAGGCCGTTCGATTGTCAAACCCGAGAAGCAGGGATGACGCGGATCGAGTGCTTCAAACTCGATGACGCGGATCGAGTGTCTAAAACTCGATGCAGTGGATCGCTGATGTCAGCATCGATCAACCGTTGATCGATTACCCTAAGCTCGATCTGGTTCGTTCTTTTTGACGCGGATCGAGTGCATAAAAATCGATGCACTTGTTCGAGTTTGGTAAACTCGATCCACTCTCCCACAGAACCTATAAATACCCCCTCATATTCCACCAAAACTCACACCACTCCATTCTTCTTCCTCTCTTCCTCCCACCACTCTTGAAGAAAAAAATATGCTCTGTGGTTGCGGCTAAGCCCGATCTTCCGCATCAGATTTTTTTTCTTTAGTTTGGTACTTCTATCACTCAAAATTGTCGAGATGGATCCGAGTATTTACGATCCTAGATTATACATTCAAGGTGGACCGCGAGAAACCGATTTGTTGGATGAGCAACCTTACCATCGGTCTGAAAGTGTTTGGGCGGCAGATCCGGTAGGCACTTCCTCATGTACTTTTTTTTAATGTGATAGTATTCTTCTAATTTTTTTGTATAATAATTAATGTTTTTTTTTTCTACAGGAACAACTTGACGTAATCACCCATCGGTCACTATCTCGCTTGCCTAAATGGGATGATCGTATCGAGCCCTTCATATCTAGAGCGCGATTGCTGAGGGTGCGAAAGTTTGTGGGGATGGAGATGGACAACAACCTTCTTACGGCAATGGTGGAAAGATGGAGAAAAGAAACGCACACATTCCACCTTCTAGAGGGAGAGATGACGATTACGTTGAAGGATGTAGCCATGCTGACAGAGCTTCCAATCGATGGTGATGCAATAATAGAAAGTTCTTCAAAACCATTGAATGGTTGGGGCCAATATATAAGCGAGCGTTTAGGTATCATCATCCCAGAGGAAGCAGAAGAAGGTCGTCGTGTACCACCTCTACACAAGTCTATGCTATTGATACCTTGGCTAGTGAGGACCGCTGGGGAATTACCGGAGGATGCCACGGATGCTCAGATAGAGAGGTATGCTCGCATCTACCTTATTTGTTTGGTTGGAGGATTTTTGTTTCCGAACAAGTCTGGTGGAAATATGCATTGTATGTGGCTTCGAGTTCTTTTGGAAGATTGGGATGAGATTGGGAGAAAAAGTTGGGGATCTGCTTGTTTGGCGAGGATATATTCGGAGTTGTGCAAGTGTACGGATCCGAAAACAAAGCAAGCAGGTGGTCCCATGTTCATCCTCCAACTATGGGTTTGGGAGCACCTTCCTACTTTCGCTCCGATCTGCCCTGCCAACAGTTGGGGTCCCGATGAGCCACTACGACAATGGGCTTATGGTGCTAGATGGATTGGAGCTATCACGAGTTTCTCCTCTCTAGATGGGTACCGCCAACATCTTGACCGTATAGAATTCAACGAGGTAACATTCTAACTTATGATTATTTATTTTTAATTTATTTGTTGAAGTTATTTGTCTTAGCCTATGATTTATTTTTATGATTACGAATTCTATTTTATTTGTTGAAATTATTTGTCTTAGCCCATTATTTATTTTTATGATTATGAATCCTATTTTATTTGTTGAAATTATTTGTCTTAGCCCATTATTTATTTTTATGATTATGAATCCTATTTTATTTGTTGAAACTATTTGTCTTAGCCCATTATTTATTTTTATGATTATGAATCCTATTTTATTTGTTGAAATTATTTGTCTTAGCCCATTATTTATTTTTATGATTATGAATCCTATTTTATTTGTTGAAATTATTTGTCTTAGCCCATTATTTATTTTTATGATTATGAATCCTATTTTATTTGTTGAAATTATTTGGCCCGATTTTAATTTATATGTTGTGTTGAAACTTAGGTGGAGTGGGATCCGTATCCGAACGGAGCAAAGGATTTGTACGAGTTGCGATACCCTGAGGATCGCCGACTCTGGTCGTGCAAGTTGCCTGTGATTTGCCACAACATTGCCGAGTGGCACCTCCCGGATAGATGTGTCCGACAATATAATTGGACGCAACCGATTCCTCTCCCACCACCGGACGTACATAAGTCACTCCACAAGTACAACAAGGATTTGCGGGGTACAATAACTGATTGGCCAACCAAGCACCGTAGATGGATCGAAATGTGGGAGTCTCGTCAGACGTATGCAATTGATGGGATCCCAATGACGAGGCCAATGGGGTACCAAGATGAATACATGGTTTGGTACCGCAAGTTCACAAAAAGATGGGTAACCAAACGTGGCGCCGTGATCGGTTCATTGGTAAGCACAATATCTATTTACTATAATCACCTTTAGCTACACAAATAGTGTTTGACTAACATGTTTATTATTTAGGTTGATGGGTTGGAACTTGCATCAATGACGTTGGAGAATGAACCAGAAGATAATGTGCCAGGGGAGAAAATTTCATTCTTGAAGAAGCTCTTCAAGAATCTCTTGTCATGTTCGCGGGAAATCCGAAGGGATGTCATTGCATATCCTCCTGCTCCTGCACCGCCACGTCCTTCCTCCCACGCCATTGAAGTTGAATCTCTCCCGCCATCACCACCAAGGAGGAGTAAGCGTCGGCAAGAGCCCGTTACAGTCCCTGTGCATGTACGAGAAGATGTGGCACTTCCTGACCCATATGAGTATGGATTCCCTCCCGCCAGAAGGGAATTTGGAGAGGGATCATCAGGTTCTGCTCAAGGAGGGGGAGGAGGAGCCTACTATTCACCGTATGGTCATCAATTTCAAACCCCGCATCAAAGCTTCCAGACTCCGATTCCAAATGTTTATTATGGTCCTCCAACCACTGCAACCCCACCTCCATTGCCACGAAATACTGGAATTGGATATGGAGTTCGTTCAAGGAATAGACGTCGAAGGGAGGGACGCGGACGTGGAGCACAAGAGTGAGGTGTTCTTTAGAGTTGTTAAGTTATTCTATTTCTTTAGAGTTGTTAAGTGGTTCTATTTCTAATGACGTTGTTCCGTTGTTCTATTTCTAATGACGTTGTTCCGTTGTTCTATTTCTTTAGAGTTGTTTAGTTGTTCTATTTCTTTAGAGTTGTTTAGGTGTTCTATTTCTTAAATCACACCATAAAATTCAAATCACAACACAAAGTTCTTAAATCACACCACACCATAAAATTCAAATTACAACATAAAGTTTCAATTATCAGTCGATGGCCCTGGACACTGGCGCCTATCATGCCCTTCAACTCGACATACAGAGCACTTCTTCGGGCGGCGTCGCTGTGTCCTTGATCTATCCATTTCATTTGCAATTCGGTTAACTCTAGGTCGACCTTTGGTACGCTTCAAGTGCTCGGGAGGGTACACTACAGGTCCATCATACTGGGGCCAATATGCTTCATGAGCCAAGGGAAAGAATGACCCTTCCCAAACTCTGACCACATATGGAGTCTTGTAGTATGGACTAACAAATATCAATGGGTCCAAATTAACGCTTCTCGCAGCTGCATATGCATGAGAGCAAGGCAGATGTCTCCCTTGAAACTTCCCACAAGTACACTCTCCAATTCCATTCTTTGCATCCAGTATAACTGTTTGAGCATTACCACCCTTTGAACTATCTGGTCCACTTCCTGTTACTACTGCGAAGCGGGAATCTCTTCGACTAAATAAAGTCACCTTATGCCATTTTGCCCTTTCTGACCATGGTTTCATATCATCTGTAATCTTCTTTGGGATGTAGATTCCAGCATTCAACATCTGATATGCTGCTTGGTAGCGTTCAACGAACCATGTCACCGTACGAAAGAAGGTATGCAAGACTATAGATGAGATAGGCATTGCACGAAGACC